AATAAACTCGTGTTTTACTACATATACTTTTCTACCCTTTGTACGAAAAGTCTTAAAATGTTAGATTCACAATATTTTTCTCTCAAATCAACTCTTAGGCTACACCCAAAATAATGAAATACATATACTATTTATAGGATCAATAATCAAGTAGAAGAGTTTAATTTCAACTCAAACAAGGACTCCTTATGTGTAAGACTCCAAAACCGGCTGTAAATTGGAAACCAAGTACTGCAAGGATTACGTTCTCAACTTTAATTAGAAATCTTCCACACAATCATTACCTTTTATTAGTTGCAATAGAAGTTCTCAAACTTTTGACTTTTGAGACATTACCCAATATAGACTTCGTCCGAAATGAGGGTTGAGTTCAAAGGATAATTTTCTTGGCTTTAGGCGGCCCGCCCATTTTCAGAAGTATTAGACTCATTCAGATTGAAAAGAAATTGAAGCTTTCTTACAATTAATATGTTAGGCTGATGCTTTTTACTTTTTAATATGATGCCAAGATGCCCATCAAAAATTTGCAATTGATCTATCTAGCTCGATAAATATAGCCATCTAAAAAACCCGTGATTCATGGTACTACTCGACCAAAACATTGCATCCCATCAAATGATCCTCATTTTTGGCCAAAGTGAATCATCTAAAAAAAAGTATCAACACAAAATAGGAACAAGTATCGTGATAATGGATATCCTTGCCAAAGACCCCGAGATCGAAGCACAAGACACTGGACTCTCCCATTGATGCAAAGCAAAACTCGAGGTGCTCATATAGTTAAGAACTAGATTTTGCCATTTCTGAGAGATTGTTCGCCCTTTGAAAACTCGAAAGGGCACGAGATCGTGATCAAATAATATAATGGTAAATTAAATGTCGAACCCACAAGGAATATATGTTTGAATGAGTTAAAGCTATTAGCACCTTTAATCAAATAGCAATATTGAGCTGTAATTAATCTACACCTAATCTATCAAATAATCAAATAGCAATATTGAGCTGTAATTAATCTACACCTAATCTATCAAATAACTAGAAAGCAAAGTAAAAAGTTTATCAAATTTGTGAGATGTATCACTAAAATGTATAATCCCCTTTGTTATTCCATTTTTAGTCTACAATTAAAGTGACATATTGATACCGTGCAAGTTGGTCAATGTTCCTAATTTATTTGAAGGCTTCTCTCAATAGCAAATTAAATCTATTCCTATATGTGACCTTTCTATAGTTTGTATGACAGATACGAATATGCAAGAAATCATTAAACGTGCTAGAACATCTATTGTAAACATTTGAAGCATAGAGGCATATTTATATTCTCTATCGAACATCACAATGCTTACTACTATGTGCTAATGATTCTATTAGCTCTCTTGATGACAATAAAACCTACAAACAATTCAATTAGTGGTCAATTAACTAAAAAGCAAGCTAAACTATAATAAGCATCATAATATTCAAACAAATTAATATCAAACTAATTATTCAAATAAAAAATCTGATAACAAAGGTTCATCTCATCCTAACAATTTAAAAATCTAACCTAACATATTGAAATTACAAGAAATCATTCTAAGTTTAATAAACATCACCTAGAAATTGAATAATTGAGGAGAAATTATGAATTCTTGAATGATTTTGATGGATCCTTGATATCTCTTGAATTGTACTCCCAATTATTGTGCCAATTTTTTGGTATTAATTCTACTTGACATCTTCTTGCAATTTTACAATTGAAACCTCGTACAAATATGAATTTGCTCTCTTCTTCCAATGGATTTCTCAAAGAATCTCGATATTCTTGAGTTGTTTATGTGTGATCCCTAGGTGTAGGAGACATTTTGGTATTTATATGACTCAAGTTTAGGTCAAAGATATCACCTAAAATCTTACCAAGTTGACTTTTAATCGTATAAGAAAACCTGAAATTTGTTAGGATTTTATAACTATGCGACCACATAGTTTAATAGGCTGCAACTGCATAGTTCAAAAATTGAAAACCATATTTTTCCCCCGCATGGTGTATGCAACCACATGCCAAATGCACTATACAGTTGAATAGAGCAATTTTTTGTTGCCTTCTTCCATTCTTTCACATTTTGGCCACGAAACTTTGATGTATCGTCTTTTTCCACATTTTAGTCTATATTTTGTCCTCTTAGCTTCCAAGTACATCCAATTGAACCCCTAGCATCTCCAATCTTCAAACATGGTCCAATTCAACTATTGGATTGTTGCAACTTGATCCCCATCTTCTGGATTTCACTATTTTTTCATGATTTTCCCTTTTTTTTTTTTAATTTCTTATTTAATCATTGAGTTTTACCTATTTAACAAAAATTCAATAATTTATGATATATTTCATCAAAAGAACAACTCAATATTGCTATTTTAGATCCTAAATAAGTGTATAAAATACACTTATCAATTATAATTTATTTTTAAAATTAATTATCTAATTACAGGAAACTTATAACATTAATTAAAACTCCAATCACTTGTTAATTTTCTTGTAGTATAAAAATTAAAGTGTGAAATTATGTAAATCATATGTTGAACTTCAGAATTGAGTTACATCGTAATTGAGCTCACGAAAACTGTATAATAAAGTGCAGTTCGTAATTCATCTTTTCATATATCTCTTGCAAAAATTTCCTAAAGCATTTTCTCAGAACTTGAATTTTATTAAAAATTAAAAATAAGAAATTAGAATTTTTTATTATTATTATTAATTTTTTTTTTGGAAGTTTTCCCCTAAGAGTTGCTATTTCAATAATATATTCAAATTGGAAATGCTAACATCTTGGAAGCTTTCATGCAACCTAGATTTTAAATGTAGTAACAAAATGTACAAGATGCTAAGATCATGGGTAGTTCTGTCTATTTAAGATAACGGTACACATGACATGCCTTTAATGGAGAATAATGAATCAAGCTTTCATGTGAAAATAATGAATTTTGCTACCTGTACACAAAAACAATATATAAGTGGTTATCGAAAATAATGTATAGGAAAAGATTGAATGAAAAAGTTGATTGAATTTTAAACTAACAAATAGTAGAGTGTCATGTTACATTATGTAATTCATTATGTAAACCTTAATATAAGCTCCGAAAATAATAAAGTAAGGTGCTAAAACATCATCCTATGGGGCACGTAGATTCAATTAACTGTGATATTAAATGTAGTAACAAAATGTACAAGATTCTAAGATCATGTGTAATTTTATCTATTTAAGATAATGTTACACATGCCACGCGTTTAATGGAGAATGATGAATCAAGCTTTCATGTGAAAATAATGAATTTTGTTATCTGTATATAAAAATAGTATATAAGTGGTTATCGAAAATAATGTAGAGGAAAAAATTGAATGAAAAAGTTGATTGAATTTTAAAATAACAAATAGTAGAGTGTCATGTTACATTATATAATTCATTATGTAAACCTTAATACAAGATCCGAAAATAATAAAGTAAGGTGCTAAATTATCATCTTACGGGACACGTAGATTCAATTAAGTGTGATATTATGAGACTCATTAATTGGATTTATCATTTTCTATCAAAAATGGTTTTGTTTTAAGGGCTCATTTGATATAATTTTTAAAAGTCAAAATGAGCTTTTGAAACCCAAAAGTTGTTTTTGAAATCATTGATTAATTTTATAAAAGTGCTTCTACTAGTTAAAAGAGCTTTTAGAAAAAAAAAATCAGTCCAATGCGACTCTTCTAAAAGTACCTTCAAAATAGAAAACTCTTTTAAAAAATAATTTTCAAATAAAAGTTGAGATACTTTTAAAAAATAATTTTCAAATAAAAGTTAAGATAATTTCTTCCAAAAATTCTCCTACAAGAGTCAGAAGTAAAAGCAAAAAATAAAAGTCATACCAAACAAGTCCAACACTAGTGGATATATATAGCATTACTTATGTGAAAATGATTGTTTAAGATTAGATTTAATTCTTTGGATTCCCAGCTTATTAAATTAGTGCAATTTGATACTTTTTTCCTTTGCAGATTTGGTCTCCGATCCTTTCCTGCATACATCCTAATTTTTAAAGCAATGATTTACAAATGATCAAATGATTACTCACGCCAACAATAATAATATATACCATTAAGTCCCCATCAATTATCTTCATTTATATTTTGTAGATTCCTAATCACCTATTATATTAATGGGAAATTGCATACATAGTCCCCAACCTTTCAGGAATCTGGGATCTTGTCCCTAATTAACTCTTACTGCATAATTTGGACCTCGACCTTTAGTAAAACAACAGAGTTAATCTCCATTGAAAGTTTCCATCCAATTTCTTTGTTAATTCATTCATGAGCCACTAAAAAACATGCCGACCCACAACAATGAAAATTTAATTGATTAAATCATTATTTAGAAAACAACCTCTAATAAATCTAATGAATATATCCACCACCATGCATGCATTTATGTATAAGAAGATGTCATTGCTGAAGATGAAAGTGTTGATAAAAGTTCTGTTGGATAAGGTGAGAATGAGTGGAATTGAGAGGATGATAGGATTCTTTTTATGTTATTATTTATTTTTAGGGTTATTCTACAAGCTTACAACTCCCTTACATAAGGGGGCTCCAAGATTAGCGTTGAACCCTCTCATGTGAAAGGACTATCATGCATGGTGTACACAAGTGTACCAAGCATGACAATTATTTTTAATTGATTTAAAGGTTAGACAATTTTTTCCTTTATTTAAAAAAAACATCTGCTGCTCACCTGACTGGACTTAACAAATGAAACGGACGAAAATAGTAAAGCGACGATAAATGCGAAAAAAAAATTGATTAGAGATGGAATTGTGATTTTCGTGAAAGTTTGGACTAAATATGCAATTTACCCAATATTAAAATAATAACTACAATTACTTGCATATATTCCTCACTCCAAATTACTAATCACCCACTGGCGATCTGATTATTTTATTCACAAATCCCAATGAAATTGTAACACGTGGCCGACCTAAATAGAACCGTTGTTTCCAGCCGTAACGTTCCATTTGTGTACAGTTAATACTTGCCGGTATATCCGGGTGGCAGTATCACCAATTGTTTCCGTTATATATACATATATAAGCAAAATCCTATAAATAGTGGGGGAGAGAGAGAGGGATTAGGGGTTAGGGTTTACAGCAAACCCACATTCTTCTTCTCTCTCGTGACCGGAAATGGCCTTCCAATCGCAAGCCGGCTCAGATATCTCCACCAAAGAAGCGAACCTAAAGGAGGAACTGCAAGATCCTGGATTCTCAGGCCAAAGTTGCTGCTGTTTTTGGAACTACCCGTGTTTCCAGACCCGACAACCCGATAACTGGGAGAGGGTATCACCGCCGGAGAAAGAGCAAGAAATCGCCGGAGGCTTGTGGGGGAAGGGAATAAACGCCTTGAAGAAGGTTAGGGAATGGTCGGAGCTCGTCGCCGGTCCGAAATGGAAGACATTCATCCGCCGGTTCAATAGGGCGACGGTCCGGTCCAAAACAGGAAAATTCCAGTACGATCCTTTGAGTTATGCTTTGAATTTTGATGAAGGGCAGTGGCAAGACAGTCAATTGGAGAAAGATTGGCCAGCATGGGACTTTTCGGCCCGGTTTGCGGCGATTCCGGTGTCAACTAAAGGGTCGATGGAGTTTGGCAAGGACGAGCCACTGTTCGCGTGAGGAAGAAGCCGGTTGATTTGGCGTTCGACGTTTTGACGGTGAATGAAAGCGGTCGGTTGATAAATTGATTCTGTTTTTAGCGTTTCCATTAAATTATTCTATTTATTAATTTTAATAAAGTCGCTTATAATTCATTATTCTTTTGGGGGATTATTGTAACTGTTTTATTATTTATTTTTTTTTCACTTTTAAGGGATTATTGTAAGACTGCAATTTTATGTTAAAATTTTTGTTGATTATGAAGTTGACAAGGAAATGTGACATGTCTTCTTGTATTGACCCCGTTAATTTTTTCATGGATTATTTTTGTCGTGTATCACAAAGTACATAAGAGTGGCCATACCCGACCCTTCCCTATTGGAGGGGCGTTTGTGCGTTGCAGGTGCCCGTTCAATAGGGATTGCCGAGTGTCCATTATGGACATTTTTATGTACATCGTGAATAACCATTTTCTCCTGTGCGTGAGAAATTTTCCTTAATCATTCTGATCCGAATGCTGTGAGATGACCCAAACTGGCCTAATGATAACCAAAGACAAATATGTCTCGTAGATTTTTTCATTTAATTGTCAATTGCAGTGTAGAGACAAGACAGAACCGGTTCAATTGACTTTTATTGATTTCAACACTGTTTGAATATAAAATCGAATTTTATCCATGCTCAATGGTATTGATTTTGAAGCCTTTGTACTTTAGGGGCAATCTCCTTGCAACCCGTGTAAGACCGCAATTTTATGTTAAAATTTTTGTTGATTATGAAGTTGACAAGGAAATGTGACATGTCTTCTTGTATTGATCCCGTTAATTTTCTCCTGGATTATTATTGGTGTACATCACCAAATACATAAGAGTGTTCATACCCGATCCCTCTCTATTGGAGGGGTATCTGTGCGTTGCAAGTACCCCTTCAATAGGAGGTGTCGAGTGTCCATTATGGACACTCTTATCTACACCAAGAATAATCCTTTTTCTTCTGTACGTGAGAAATTTTCCTTAATTATTCTGATCCGAATGCTGTGAGATGACCCAAACTTGCCTAATGATAACCAAAGACAAATATGTCTACTAGATTTTTTTCATTTAATTGTCAATTGCAGTGGAGTAGAGACAAGACAGAACCGGTTCTTTTAAGCCACGAAAGCCCTTTACATCTGTTCAATTGACTTTTATTGATTTCAACTCTGTTCGAATATAAAATCGAATTTTATCCATTCTCAATGGTATTGATTTTGAAGCCTTTGTACTTTAGGGGCAATCTCCTTGAAACCCGTGTAATGTATTTACTCTTTACAAAAACACGTCCAAGTTGTTTAAAAACCGGTTCAAATTCACCTCATTACAGGGGGCACATGGGAAGAAACCAATTAAAAAAAGGCAAACCCATTACAAGCCAAGGTTTGTATCGAAAACTACTCATTTAAAACTGACTCTGTCCAAAAAGGTTAACGGATCAAATAAATTATGAAAATGTTTGTTGTATATCATCATTTACATATTCTTTTACAAATTGATGAGATAACGACAAATTGAATCAAAATTGTCAAAATATTTTCACCACTTAAAATGTTGTGTTCGTGTAATGTGGGTTAATGGCTCACAAAAAACAACAAACAGAAAAAAAAAATTTAAATGTGGAGTTGGTTTGTGAGATTTTGAGTCAAATCTCAAAACTTTATCTGTTGATAAATAAATCTATAAATTGTAATGTACATGCAACACAACCATGTAAATTAAGCCAAATTCTTTTTAAACTCAAGTCCATTCTCATGTCGAGTTGACATGGAAATTTTGTTCACACTTCTCAAACAGAAGGGCGGGAATCTCTGATTTTTCATAACAAGATAGAACTGTTCCAAAAGTATAAGATAATCGCCACTGTTGGATTATTGTCCTGCATATCTTGCCGATGCCATGATCAATGCAATTAGTCGTTCAAGAATTCGTAATGTTCTAAACATATCCAGAAACAAGTTGTTAATTTGACTTCACCTGTTTATCCAAAATAAGAACTCGAAGATGAAGGAAAAGCAATGAACCAACAAACATTTATGAAACCGGTAACAAAATGTAACATCGAGAATTGAAATTCGCATCAATTATGGATATATATCATGTTATAGACTATCACCAAATTTTATTGAAGCAGAGTAAATTAAATTTCGATAAAGTAGAAAGACACCATTACAAGATTAATCCCAAAATGATAATGTACCTTTCCGACACCTTCTGTTCTCTGCATCTATGGTAAGTCCATATTAAGAGAAGACGGATACTCCATTTGGGCATCTGAAGAACTTGCATAAGTGCTCTTCTTCGACCACAGCCATATCTTGGAAACAGAATAGCTATCAGTTCTTGTCCCAATACTAATCTTCTTCCCGTCTTCACTCGGAGGATTGCTAATTTGTTCCGTCCCTTTGACCAGCTTCGCGTCAGAACGAATTCGATCAAGGCTCAAGGGTATCCGGAGATTAGCACCGCCAACTACATACTGATATGAACCCATAGAGTAACATCTTCTAACGTCCAATTTACTATCACTAGACTCTCCCGGTGATTCCCCTTCTTCCTCGTTCAATTTTCTGAATTTACCAAGCCTCACGGGTAAAACTGCCTTTTCTACTGCAACTTCCTCAATTTCTGCTGTCTTCTCACCGAAAGAATTCCTGTTCTCTACATTAGTGGGATGTCTATCTTCTTCCCTAAAATCATCGTAATCAAAAATAGGGTTTGCCGTGGGAAAACCGGGATTGAAAAGAGTCCCTCTACAGAGAGGACATGTTGAATTCGTTAAGAGCCAAGTATCAATACAATTGATATGAAATGCGTGGCTACAAATCGGAAGCAATCTCAATTGGTCCTTCTCAGAAAATTCGCTCAAGCAAACTGCACAATCAAAGGGCTCTTGTGAACCCTCAATCTCCTTATACATAAACACTGGCAATGCATCAATAAAAGCTTGATCCAGACCAGAATCATGTAAATGGAAGAGTTGTTGCAGTTGTCTTTGGAGAACATCAGAGCCCGAAACACCCAAATCCCGGTTCGACTGTGAGGAGGATGAATTTTTCGTAAGAAATCTAACAAGCAAATGGAGAAGACCCGATACGAAAAACAAAACAGCTAAAATTACTATAATGAAGAGAACAACAGGACTAATCCTAGTACCAGACGAAGACGGAGAAGGGCTCGATTCATTGTGGACATAAGGGGAAGCTGATACAGGATAAACAGGAGGTTGGTATGTTAAAACTCCATCTTTTTGGTTGATTTGATGCTGAATCCAAGACATTTTCAAATGCATATGTTCAGAAAACTGCCGTTTCACTCTTTCTCTACCAATCCCTTTGCCCCTCATTTCTTGCAAATCCTCGTTCTCCTTTGAGAATCACAAAAAAATTTCAAGTTTGAATCTGTCATTAAACAGGCCTATTTATTGAACTATAAACCAAAACAAGTACTTTTCACGTTCTCCCTCTTTCACATAAACATACATATCCCAGACAAGCAGAAACCTTAAAACATAAAAAACTTAACCCTCAAATTTTTTCCCAAAACAGAGTAACATCACAATATCAAACCACAAGGCAGTTTGGTGCTAATAAGGCAACAATCAAAAATGGAAAAATCCCAACTCACTAATTGTCCAACAAAATGAAAAGACAGTGATGCCGATTGAGTTTTTACCTACCTTGACTTCGATTGCTTAGCAAAACCTTAAAAGCACAGATTTACACTGGATTCTAACAGCCCGCGAGAATAACGGAATTAAATATGAAAATCTTGAATTTCTCCCCCTCTTACTGACAATTATAATTAATATAAAAAAAGTTTAGTCATATTCAGTGTGTATACAGTATATATATGGGAAGTGAAAGTGATGGGGTTTTTTCTTCCACTGTGTAATTTTTTTAAACGGATTTAGAATCCAAAGGCGGGTGTGGCACTAGTTTCCAAAGTAAGTATATGCCAAAAAGGGCCCCCCAGGGCACATCCGAATTGATGGAACAATCACTTCGCTGGGACACTGGAAGCAAGGGTGGGGAGTTCGATTCCTGGAGTTAACACTGGGAGCCATATGGAGAGGAAGTCATTGGTGTGAACAAACGTCCAGTGAGGAGAGCTCTCTTTGCGGAAGGAATCCAAATGAGTTGTGGGAACCTGGGAGCCAACAAGGGCACATCCTGCGATTTACCTCCCTGAGCTGCTGAGGGGCCGGAGGTTCAGGGACAAGGATCTAGTCGGACGCAAGCCCGAACACCTTGTAAAAAAAAAAAAAAAAAAAAAAGTATATGCCAAAAAGACAACACTTTTGTTTCCAGTAATAAAATAAGAAAAGAAAAAGATAGTAGTCAACATTTTGATTATTTGATATGGACATGCACTATAGGTCATGTCAATGATATAATTGAGTTAATTGTTTCAATGGTCACTAAACTTAGATCCATATTTTTGATTGACCACTGAATTTTAAAATGTCAAATTTTAATCACTGAACTTAGGTCCGCATCATTGATTGGCCACTGAAACTCAAAATGTCAAGTTTTGGTCACTAAATTTTGAAAAATGTCGAATTTTGACCACTGAACTTTGAAAAATATTATACATTACTCACTGAACTTTGAAAAATATTGTACATTATTCACTATAAACTCGATATTTTTCAAAGTTCAACAATTGTACTAATGAGTAACGTACGACATATTCCAAAGTTCAGTAACCAAAACTCAATATTTTAAATTTCAGTAAGCAATTTAAGACATGGGTATAAGTTCAATGAGCAATCAAAGACATTGATTTAAGTTCAATAACAAAAATTCGATATTTTTCAAAGTTCAATGGCCAAAATTTAACATTTTATAATTTAGTAATCAATCAAAGACATTGGCCTAAGTTCAGTGATCATTGGAACAATTAACTCGATATGATCTGATCATTTTAAGCCTGTTTGGGAAATTTTTAATAGTTGATTTTCAAAATTAAATATCAATTTTAATTATGCATCTAGTAAGATTCACAACATTTACTTATTCATCGCCCATTTCTATCAACTTATAAGCTTAGCACCAAAAAACAAAAAACAAACAAACAAACAAACAAACAAAGGCTAAGCACGTCTAAATCAATTATGAGATATGGTGTGCGCTTACAATGATCTACGTGAGCTTATAATAATAGAAATAGTCACGACCACATACTTTTTGATAGGCATAGTTTGGGGGCACAAATCAATAATCGTGTACGAAATTATAGAAGAGATCCTTTAAAATAAAACAATATTGTTAATTGAGTATAAGCATATGTGTAGAAATATCAATAAAATAGAAATCTCGTTATTGCATAACTCATGTTGAAGTAGTGTACCATTGAATGTTCTACAGTCTCATGATCGAACTTTCATGTTAGAAATTGCCATTGTATACTCCCCAGCATGTTAAAAGATGGTGAGTGACACTAGGTGAGATATATCGGAAATGGTACTCATGGGACATTTGAAAAAATAAAATAAAATAATTCAAGAATTATCTTTTATACCCTAGATCCAACACTATCATACTTGATGAAGATTCTTAAAGAAGTGTTTTGGCTTTGATTTGTTTCGTCCATTATTTTAATTTCAAGTTCCAATAGTGTTTGCCCATTTAGTGTACATATTCACCAAATTCTCAACTTGCAAATGAGATTCTTTATCAATCATCAAAATTGTTGACAAAAATGTTATAATCTAGACTAACATAATTTTGATTTTGACTATTTTATCTTGAATTGATGGAGCTATTTGCACCATTTAATTTGCATGAGATAGAGTTTGAAAATTGGGCAGTTGATTAAACTAGTGGTGTGTGGTGCCGCCAAATAAAACAATTTTAGTCAACTAATTCATTTATGGTTTTAATCATAGTTATTAAAATCGACCGGCCCGATAAACCGATGACCCGGGCCTTTGAGCGAGCTGGGCCAGTTGCCAACAAGCGGTTTTTGAATAATTTTTGGACCGGTTCAACTCAATTCGACCCGGTTGATTTTTAAACCAAATTTCAAAACTCTTTTACATTGAAATTGTAGATACCAAAGATTTGAACCCTTGATTGACCTCTAAGTAAAACACAGCGTTACCATTAATACAAGCAACACTTATCTTCTTTTGTTTAATAAATTATATCTAACCTATGAATAATTTGCTACTTGTAGAATCATTTTTAAAGAAATTAGTCCAACATTTTCATTCACTTTGTAATTTCAAATAATTATTTTATATACTTATTTTGTTTGAAAAGAAAATAATGTTAACTAATATAAATTGAATAGATAATACACAAAATTTTTGTCAATAACTAATAAATAATTTGTAAATCACTAAAAGGGAAAAATATATTTTTTAATATAATATACAAAATTATAAAATCAAAATTTAACCATTATCACTGATAAATGAGTTCAAAAATCATTAATTTAAATGTATAGAAAAATTAATCACAAAGAACTTGAAAACTTTAATTTTGTCTCAACAAAAAAAATAAAAAATAAAAAATTATACTTCAAAAATTATTAAATTATTTTTAAGTAATGAGCCACTGGTCCAACCACCAATTCACCGGTCCGACCAGTAACCCAGTGACCCTATACCTTGATCGGGTCGATATCCGAATTGGGTCTGATAACTATGGTTTTAATTAAGATTGCAAGATCATGGTTTGGATTAGAAATTATCTCCTCTCCAAGATGGGTAGAAATTATCGTGTCCACCGCTAACACCACATCAACGATCAAGTCTACAATTATTGACAATTCAGTTATTTTAATCAAGACTGCAAGATCATGGTTTGGATTAGAAATGATCTCCTACCATAATGGGCAAGAGTTATCTCGTTCACCTTTGATGTGGCGATGCCAAATCAACGATCAAGTCTACAATTTTTGACAATTCAATGTTGAATTGTCAATAATTGTAGGCCTACATCATTGAATTGTCAATAATTGTAGGCCTACATCAGTTGTTAGGAAGATAACTCCTATCTACAATGAGTAAGAAATCATTTCTATGATTTAAATAAGCCTAAAAAAGGTGAAGCAAGCAACTTTTATCTGAATGCATGTTTGAATAATCATCTTTCACTTATAGCCTAACATCCTCTTAAAATCTATAATTAGGATGCGGTAATCTACTCCTTAGCAGTAGGTGCACCTTTTTCTCTCCTCCTACTTGGATAATAAATCACATTTTTCAATAGTTTTGAATCATGGAATTCATTCATCCCAAGTCGTGTAAGAGACAAAAGTAAAATTGCATCTTTGTTTTTGTTCAATCACTTCGTCTATATAATAATATTTTTGTGCATACGTATATAAGTTTGAATTATTTTTTAATCAAATATCTTGGAATTTCAACGTACCTCTTACTGCATAGGATAACAATCTACGCAGCTTTTCGTGATGATAACTAGAAAATTTGATTAACTCGATTTCATTGGTCTCGACCAACATACTGGATGTAACACTTTGAAAAGTCGCTAGTACAAATTGAACGCACAAAAAGGCAGAGGCTAAGTCCACTCCCGTGCCATTGATTGCAAAAGAGAGATAATAGGGGCATTAAGATTACTTTATGATAAGTCCCTCTGATATTCAAAAAGCTACTTAATAGATGTTGGACAAATGTGAAATGCAAAAGTGAATTGAAATAGTTACTAGTAGAACCAAATATAAATGTCAGGGCCCATTTGACATAATTTTTAAGAGTTAAAAAGAGTTTTTGAAATTCTGAAAATTACTTTTGGATCCATTTCACTTATTTATGAAAGGGTTTCTTCTAATTAAACAAAATCAATTGAGGATGAAGTAGAATGGAGTGGGCCACGACCTTACGAGAAATCTCTTCCCATCCCTGCCTCATCTCCAAGAGGCCAAGAAGAGGTTAAAAATATCTTCATTTTCTCCCATTTATTTATTGGGGGAATTTACATAAATGTCACTAAAATTGAAAATGCACAAAAAAATTTCATTTGCACCAATTTCTTCCAAAAACGTCACTTTTTGTTGCAAAATGTCCATTTTACCCTTTAGACACCTTTTTAAGAGCAATAAATGTTTGATTTGAATGCAATTAATAGTGTTATATGATGATTTGTTTTTATTAAATTTAAATATTTAAGATATGATTATTATATTGTATAATATGAATTTTTGATTAAAAAAGGGGTGAAAACTTTAAAAAAAAAAAAAACACTCACACACACACACACACACAAATACGTTGGAATACAAACCCTACATTCTTCTTCACCATCTTCATTCCATCATCAACCAGGCAAGAAGAGAAAGCTATTGATCAACCTCAAATGTAAGCTACTAGAAAAAAATATTTTTTATTTGATGATTTACTACTTTAAATGTTTAATACAATATGGTCATATTTAATTGACTCTTTTTGAATCTAATTCATTTATGTATTTTATTTTTGAAATATTTTTTGAAGGAAAAAATACAAACATCCTCTATAAAATGTAAAGGATTCCATATTTAATGAAACATTGAGTTATTCCTTCTTTATTTATGAGAAAATATTGTAATATTGTAGTTGAGAATTGATTATCACCGTTAATGTATTCAATAATTTCTTCCAAACAGTCAAACACATGTTTTTAAACTTCCCCAAAACTTATGACAGTTCAACTGTCGAACAGTATTTTCGAAACTATCAAGTTAGACATTGGAATTGTTGAACTCGAATTTACTAATTGTCAGGATAGATAATTTAATTGTTGATTTCGACACCTGAAAATTGTTGTCACATTTTCCTTTTTGGTACTAATTGAATCTATATATTCTTATGCTCCAATTTGATAGTATTAAATGTTGACATATGAATGTGCTGATTCTCACCTTTGCAGTTTCAACATTTCAGG